GGGGGGCTCATGCATATCAGTGATGTTTAAAGTACTGCTGGCTAGAAATTCGAAATCCTCGGCCGGTGCGTATGCTATGCCAAACAACTTGTATACCATGGTACATGAATGTTTTAACCATACAACGTAGTGTCTCGCGCAAGCTGATAAGGATAAGTGTATGAATGTTTGAATTATGCCATTGTCCTTCCCTTTTTCGTCGTCGTCTGAGGTTAAAAGTGTTTAAACAGCACAAATAACATAGGTTTATGATACCTGGCCGTTAGAAACGGCACTTCCTGCGGAAAGCTATGCTCCTCTTCATTATCAGGTTTGCCTCAAAAAGGCACTGCAATATTTAACGTTCTCATGTTAGTCGTCTGTGGTCAGTACACCACTCCCAAACGAGAAAGGTTTTGCATATATTTCAATTCTACTGTTGGCTCATTTTATATAACCAGGTTAAGTTTCAGTGTCTGAGTTTATCTGTACCCTTTTTAGGACCGGGGTCATCTTCTCCAGCTTGCTCGTGAGCCGGTGGTACCGTTGTACGTTGAGCATACTTTGCACTCAGCGTGGTTGGACGCTTCCAGGGCGAGACTGCGACACTACCGGCAGATGTTTCGAGACTCTGTATGAGCGCCGCGAATGAGGTGGCTTTCAGAATAATGATTGCCGTATCCATTCTCAAAATTCGATCTTTTCATATGTTAAAGCTGGCCAGAACTCCTTGATGTCAGTCGATTACCCCAGTTCACTTGCGGGTCAATGTTCCTGTTGCTGTACAACTCAGCCATTTGTGTGCGTAACAGTACACCACATTGCATTGCATTGTCATATGTGCATCTACTATCTCATAAACGCGAAAGAACAGGAACGTTTGTTACCGTTTGGATATCAGGCTCCCTTACACTTCCGTGATGAACCCACCTGTCCCACCCTGATTTTCATTGAGCCTCTGATACGGCCCTGCTCACAGCTGCTATGGCACCCGGCAAGAGTGGCATATTTTATAAGCAATGTGTGTGGCAAATATATCGCGTGGCTTCCTGTCCTGTTTCCTTAATTTTATACGTTTGTACCGATTTATCTACTTCGTTGAATGAAAAGCGATTCATCCGACCTGGACTTGAATTTGCTGCCTGTGTTTTTACAGTAAGTACAGCATCTTACAGTGAACAACCAATAAAAATTGATAATTAATGTTGCGCACCGCTCAAAGCGAACTGCAGAAAGAACTAGTGAAAACCAGCAACCCTGGTAGAGAATCAAAAATTGAAACTGATATATCTCCTATCTGATTGGAAATAAACAATCATTAGTTGAGGAAGCCAATCGCCGATGACTGAAATTAGATCGAATGGCTTCAAACAAATATAACACTTTCACTGCTGCCTTCCATTTGAGAAATTTTCGCTCTGAACCTCATTTGGCCATG